CAGCGAGAGTTTGAGAGAGATAGGAGATAAGATTTTCAAGTACACGAGCCCTGTAATTTAACTTTAGCTTGATCAAGCAAGAGCATGAGATACTTACGAGAAGAAAGTTGAAGAACGACACAGCAATCGCGCAAGCTCGTCCAAGAGAACGATCCGCGTTTGACGTCGTACACGTACACGTCGTAGGTAATCGTTATTTTTTTTTTCTTTTTTTTTTCCTTCTATATCGAACACTTTACAGAGTCTACCTCAGAGTTAGTACTTTTACTATAAAGGTATATACGAGTAGAATGACAAGAAGAGGCAAGTGTGAGTTATTTAAGTCAGTGTGTACACGTGTGTATAGATTCGTTGCGTATAGATTGCGCCGGAAGTACGTTGTACTTAAGGAGATGCTTAACGAGAGAAGGAGAAGGCGAACGTGTTTCTTCCTTCCACGCCATCAGGACAATAAAATTGGAGCCGCGCGACGGTCGTATAGGCAATTCCTATGCATTTCTGCGAGTATCAGCTGTTGCGTTTTCTATGTACATAGTTACCGAACAATATCGTATCATTTGCCGACGAGCTAGAAATATCGTACCGTAGGATGTAAGCCGAGAAAATGGAGGGGAAAAAAACGACGCGCGTTTATTTTTTCAACGTAATGAAATCGATATAGCTGTATAACATATATAAGTAGATAGCGTAAGGAAAAACGCGATGAACAAAACGAGAGGAAAACAGAGTGTGCACAAATCGCGTCTCCCGCGATACATTACACGCATTAAATACATGAATGTATTATATACTTTCGAGAATCGATTCTCATTACACACAACGATATGTATTTGTACACCACGAGTGTTATACAAGCGTGCGCTTTTAACTTTTCATTTTTTATCGATAATACTGGGATCTGTGATCTGCGATCCAACTGAATCTTATTTATAAGCGTCCTGTCCTATCGTCTCCTCCTCCTCCTCCTCCATCTTTCCCTTTTCTCCTCTAATTCTCGTGTAACGATGAGAATCTGGGCCATTCGAGAACGTGCAACGAGTTTTAGCAACTCGAGATTTTTTTGATGGCACACTTCACTGTGGCCATTTTTCTCGCGTTTCGTTCGATGAGTGAATCAATTCACGAGAGTGAAGCCAAGCTGATTTCTATTAATTTGTAGATAGTGAGGAAGCATACCTACAACGACAATGAAACTGAACGTTAAGTTGCCCGTATCCTCGCAACATCATTCCGAATCTCATTACCAGGACAGGACGAGAAAAGAAAGCGTTGCGAAACATTCCTACCTCGTGCAATTTTGTACGTGCGAACTCGAGGGATCAATCCTTCGATTCCAATCAAATCTTCAGTACGTGCTTTTCGTAGAAACAAGTTCCGTTTCGTACGCCTTCCGATTCGCTCTTTCTTTTCTGTTTTTCGTTTCATACAACGAATACCATGTGCTTGATGTCCTTCTTCTACTTTTACACACTTTTACCATCGGTTTCTATTATGCTTGAGACGAACGCGTTTCTATTGCGTGTCGCTTAATGGCGTAATGCGTTTGTCAAATCTGCGAGGAAGAAACTCGATGGAAGATATACAACTGTACTCCGCTAATATCGCTATTCGCGTTAAATTTACACCTATAATTCTAAGTTATTGAAATACAACGTTTGACAGAACGCTTCTTTCTCATCTCTTTAAATTCTTCCCTAGCCTCTTTGCTTCTTTCTCATCCCTTCTCTTCCCTAGTTAAATTCTGTATTATCTCTGTATTATTCGTACGGCCAACGCCACGTATTTATAACTTATTCAGAACGAATAATTATCAGAACTACATAAATTCGATAAGAAAGAGAAACGTAAAGTTGTTGACAATAATTATAGGTCAATGCGTTCGTATGCCCAAGTACGAAATGTTCGATTGTAAACTCTCTCTAGATAAGTTTGAAACGAGCCGTTGGTAAACGCCTTAACCTATAAACATATTTAGAGACGCAAAACTTACCCATTACTTGAACTCGACAAATCGCGCAAGTGTCACACTCCACGTCCCAGCTCCACATAGCCACGGCGTTCCATTTTTTTAAGATAAACAATTTGTCGGTTTTTAAATTGTCGTTCTCGGCACGATCTGCGAAATCTTGCTCCGAATCGGCCATCTCAACTTTCTAGGTTAGAAATAACGGGGCGACGCGGACGATTTCGACGATTCGAACATCTGTTTTCAATCGCAATACTCGGGCAGATCACACTCGTGCGATGCACACCTTGCGTTTATTCAACATTGTCACGCGCGTACGAACGATATCAACGACACCGGTCGTCGATTTCAGAATTGGTCCATCGCCAACGGAATACGAGCGGCGTTCCTCGTTGAAACGTGCGTTTCTGATAATGTAGATCGTGCGCAGCTGCTAACGGACTGATTCTGCCATCTACGAGATGTCTATATCAATAGACATCTTACCGACTTACCATTGTCCGTGACCTGAAATACCGACATGCTAAAAAATCACTGGCTTTTTAGCGCATTCTACGTTTAAACGACGGTGAGTTGGGGAACTAACTAATGAACCAGCAACATGATTTTTGAGACCCATTGCAGAGTTGTCAAACTTTCAATACCAAAATTTATAGCTCGTCTGTACTATTAAACAATGCATATATCTCGTTGGTGGTTCGGTCTATCGTATTAGTCAATGATAATAGATTTTAGTTCCATTTTTTCACTGCTACGTGGCGCTAGTATTTTAGTGACTTGGTTTTATTAAATTTCACTTAACTTCGATAGATGACAGCACTTTCACAAACAAAGAGAGAAACAGTGATACGACAAAGCAGATACGTGCGCTTCGTAGACAAAAAAAGAATTAGTAGTGCAACAAAGTCAGATATATGTCTCGTAATAGACAAAGTAATTCAATAGTGTGCAACAGGGACAGCAATAGGAATTAGTTCCACCATTTCACCGCTACGTGGGGCTAGTATTTCAGTGTCCATGGATCAATCTTCATTTGCAAAAAGAATTCATTAAAGGGATTAATTAGCGATTTTTTGTAGTTGCAGCGATTTGATTGGTTCTTCAACTTTCACGTTGTTCGAATTTCGAAATGAACATATGAAAGTTTGTTATTTTCTATATGTGTAGTATGCAATTAATAAAACTAAGTTGCTATTAGGATAGAATTGTACAAAGTTTCGTAATGGAAAATATAAAAAGTTTCATAATTACAATTAATTTAATTATGTTTTGGTGAGATTTATCAAAAATAGATATTTTAAAAGTACGTCAACTGTTGGGAATAGTGCTAATTAATAATTCAATAAAATCAGGTCGAATTGGAGTTTTATAAGAAGTTAAATAATGCTTGTACACACACAGTGATTGCTGAAAATTTAAAGATAATTAAAGGACATGTAACCCTCGATGTAACAGGAATTAAAGATCATCAGAACAATCAGTAGCTTCTCATTGAATATAAAAAGCAGATAGAAAATCGCTAGAAATATGCAACACATTTTCAAACAATAAAGATACCTACTAATAGAGGTTATGTGATATTTTATTGTAGTATTACATAGAAATTTAGAATTATGATAAATTAGAATTTATGTGAATGACTTATAATTAATATGAACATTGCGTATTAATTATATAAGTTGTGTGTAAGATTTATTATAAATAGGTTCGTTAAAATATTAAAATATTGACAGTATTAAAAATAGTACTTATTATTCTATTATCTTTTATATATCTATTTTAAAAATCAAATGATATAAAAAAATGAATTAGAGAATAACTACAAAAAATTACAAATCAATTTTGTTAATTAAATCTTTTTGTAAATGAAAGTTAGACTGATTTTTTCTGGCACTTGGGATTTATGCTCAGTCTATTTGCTGTTTTATTTATTACAAACTATATAATGTTATAATGAATTAATCTATAATTTTCTTTCATATATGTTATTTTAACATATCATTTATATGATTGAAATTGTTTATGAGGTTTGGTTGTATTAAATAGTAATAATTTATTATATTTTATTCAGTCTTTGGTTTGTAACTGTTGTTACTTATATATTAACTTAGATATTATTTGTCTATAATTGATGATTTGATGATGTATGAATCACAACAAACTTTTGTATACATATCAGAAATGTTTATTAGTATTATTATAATTCTTAGATATCTAGCTAGTCATTTGCTATGAATAAATGTATCTTTTGTTCATGCTCTAGAAAATATCAGAATACAGCTTCCAAAAGATGAGAGACTTGCTTTGATCATTGTTAGTCCAAGATTAATTGCTTTTGTCAAATATTTTTACTTTCAAATATCATTATAATTATATTATAGTCAAAATTTCTTAATATTTCTTATAACATACATAATATATTCATGAAAAACTTGTACAAATATTTGAATCTTCTGTAAGCAAATGTCTGCAAAAACGAGGAAGCAATATTTGTAAAATACATAATTAAAATTTTCTACTGAAAATTAATTTTTATTTATATTGTCTTTATATTCATTGATTTAATCAATTCTGTTTGAGCCAATTAATTCTTATATATATTATATGGTATACAATATTCTTATTATTAAAAACATACAATGTTTTGTTTTTCTGAGAAATTAGTCAAATCCTGTTCATATACGCTTGTGTCTCCATCTGACTAAATTAGTACGCAACGCAAACCTGTTGCACGACGATCATTCTATTGTTGAAAATTGTGGTATTAAAACGTATCACTCTGCGTAATGTTTCAGTGTCATTGTCAGTTATTCATCGTTCATAGCCCATGTTAGTGTAATTAACTTTTTATAATTAACATACATTTTTATTAATAATAATTTATCAAATATTATTACGACATATAACCAAATTATTTACTTTCTTTAATCCATCAATTTTTGGTTATTATGTTGCTTTATTATATTTTAAAACGACATTTAACCTTGATCATTGTCATATTTATTTGAAAATTTTGATTTTCTTTTGTACAGATTGTTGACTTATTACGAAAGAAAGAACTGCGAAGAATTAGAGAGCAATTCAAAAGGACTGTGACTAATAAAATCCATTTTTGACGAAGGCAGAGGTATTTATATGTTTGTTTTCTCTTTATATCGAATAATTGGTAACACTTATTTAATATTCAATTCATATGTACATTTTTAACAAATATTCTTTGGGAAGAGTTGCTATCACAGATTCGAATATAATTTGAATATAATGTGTTTTGCGCATCTTTTCTTGCGCAGCTTCATCGAGTTGAGAAGAAAACGCGCCATATTTTATCAGTATGAAATATATTTGAAATTCTGGAAACGGGCTTTCTTAAAATTGATATAATTTTCGATATGATACTTCTTTATCTGTCATAAATGAATAATGATTAATTGATAATTTTGAAAAAAACTATTCGCGATGTATTTTCTTAAGCAAGTACTTCATGGGAAGAAAAAAAATATGAAAAGAAAATATTTTACTCCTTTTTTTTATTTCTTACATTATAACAAAATTTTTCTCCCAAGAAATTTTTGTAACTGCATAGAATAAGTGATCACTAAAATTAGTGCTTTTTAACTAGTAACTTTAGTAGCTAGTAATAGTAACTTTTTTTAAATTTAATTATAACAGTTACATGCGAACTTAGAAGTCGATTCTTACTTAGATGTGTTGATAATTTTTTATTTTTCTCTTTTTTACATATCTCTTCTCTCTTTTTTAATGTGCTCAACTTTTATATACAAAACTAGTACATTTTTTCAGAATCCCTATTAATTACATCACTATATGTAATATTGTTACGAATTATATAATACGAATTGATTGATTACGATAACAGTTTTGCTAGTTAGAAAATTTTGTTAGTTTATTACTGTATAGGAATACAAGTATAGGAAATTTTGTTACGACGAGCATATTTTCATTAGATCACTGCGGATCTTTAAAAATCGAGTTTTCATACAAAAAATTTTCTACATAAATATAGATTATAGAAAGCACTCTACTATATTTTATATGTTTTTTCATGCTACGTATATTTTATGGCACTTTGTACTTTTAAATTTTCGATAATGCATTTTCCAAAAATCCGTTTAATTATTATCGCCTGTAACTTAGTTACGTGACAAATCGATAGCGTAAAAAGTGATGAAAGGATTACAGGGTATTTAAATCGCAAAATAGGAAAATGCATTGTGTGTTGAAGTCTGGTTAGCGTTTCGTATAGTATTTTTCTCGAATCGAATGTGATTCTATTTGTTTTCTTATCGTTAAATCTCGATAAAAGAGTGTCACGATGGACGCGCAGCGTTTATTTCGCTAATTTTGATTAGAATTTTCACGAAGCTTATTTTCACTTTGCCACGTGAAGTTCGAATTTTGTATAAAAAGTATGTTTCATTAGAATTAATACGGTGCTTGTCACTTATTTATTTATTTTGCTTTGAAATCATTCTAACAGAAAATTGTTTTTTTTTTTTTGGGATCATTCATTGTTCTTTTCACTTTTGAGGTTTCATTTCAACAATCGGTCAAATTCTTCGAATTTTCAATTTTAAAATTCAACGCAAAGACACCAAACTAATTTCTGTACCTAATAAATATATGTTTTCTACTACGATCGTTTTTGTCAATTCATCGTTTCCAGATGCTACTTGCAACTCCTTCGTTTCGACAAAAGAGCGAACAGTATTTAAAAAAAAAAAAAAAAGAAAGTCACGTTCGAAAGATTCACGCTTTGCTCAAAGTACGGAGAGTTTTGACGGGTCAGTAACTCCAAAAATATTTATGTCGTTCTCAACTATTCTTACTCCCGCGACATGGATATTTTCGGCTAATGTTGGGTAACCCCAGCACCCCACTGTTTTCTCTCTTTTTTCTCTTAATTACAGAGATTCATTGTTGCAAAAGTCACGTTGAGGTTATCAACATTTATTATCAGTGCTTGTAACATTATATTACAATCATCTTTTCGAAGATGTTTGACAGTGGCGGGAGCCAGTTTTACAATCATTCTTTGTTATGAATGAATTGATCATATTGTTACAGGATGGTCCAATCAGAATTAGTTTGAATATTTATTTTTGTTTTTGGAGACGTAACAAGACCTAGTTAACGCCAGTATGATGGGATCCTTAATATGACAATAAGGATCTATCACATGAAAGGGAAGCATAATGTGAACACAAGTACTTGAAGACAGAGAATGTCAAGTTTCATTTGCAACTACTAACATTTCATTTGCAATTCCTTTCAATCAATTTATATCTTTCAATAGTAGTGAGACTGATAAGTAGAAATTTCAAGGATTTGCTCGATATCTATTTTATAATTATTACTGATTTTATGATTTTATGATATTATATATATTATATATAATTTCAAGAGATTGAAGTATTTATATAATAATAGATGCATAATGAATTATCTCTTGACCCTGGATCACTAACTTACAATCACTACTATTACTATTACCACCTCTCTGTACCCACAATGAATAACTTTCGTTAACAGAGTATTTCGTTAACCAACGTAAATGTTCAAAGTGTCCAATTTTCATCGGACCATCCAGTGTGCTTGGGAGTCGAAATTTTTGGACGAGAGAGAAACGGTGACAGATGGCGAGTGATTTTTTGAGTGATTTCTGGAGTCGAATTGGTCGGGAATGGAAGGTCAGGAGAGAAGAGAAAGATCGTAACGATTTTTATTCGATTGTGAGTGAAAATGGTTGATGCCGGCGCTTGGCGATGTCTGGGTCTTTAAAGTTTCCGTTTCATGAGAAAACATAAGGGTGATGGGGAATGCCAAAGAAGGAGAGGAGACAGATGCGTGTAGATGCGTGTCTCGGGGGACAGACTTTACAGGATGTTTTGAATACGTGCCGATATCGCGACAGGGGGAACACGGTTGATGGGGCTAGATCCTACAAGGCTTCCAATTTATCTGGTTAAAAGTAGTCCCTGGTTTCCGGAGCTAGATCTTTTGGTCGTGCCGACCAGAAGCTTTTCAAAGACGCATTCATAAATCGCGGTAAGACTCGGGAGCTGTCTACGTGGGCGAAGAACCATATCGTTAAAAGAAAGAAAGCGAGAAAAAGCTACCAAGAGTCTATATAGAGTTCCGACTGTCCCTACGTTTACAGTCTGTGTTCCGAGGCTCGAATAAAATCGCTATGCCAGCGCTAGCAACATTTATCTTCCCGCTGTGCACACTACCGTCCATAAGTGTTTGATCGTAGTTTGATTGGAAAGTTAATATTTTTTGTCACATCTCCAACTTTTGTAACAGGAGAATGTTCTCCTATTATTAACGTTTCACTTCTTGCAATGACCTGCATCGTACAACATCCTATGTTTATCTGTAACGAGTAGTTAACACTTCGTGAATTTTAGAATGTCTCTCAGTTGCTCTAAAATCCCAATACGGAACAGACTTGAATTGCACTGCAATAATAAATTTTCATTCACCTTGTATTGTTCCAATTTTATAAAGATTTTAGTAGATTTTAGCAAATATTTCTATAATATAACGTGACTGCATTTCTATTATAATTATAAAGCACTGTATTTACTATATTTGCTTGTCCGGGGTAAGATCAAACGATTAGATTGAGCAGTCTATTTCAAGTGTATTTTATATGTTTGGACATGTCCGAGTACTTATGAACAGTAGTGTAAATAAATGCATAGCCACACTATCTTCTATATAAGTATTTGAACAGTTCTAAATTATTGCAAATACATGAAATGCACGGCGATTGATGAGAAAATCCAACGAATACATTGAATCATTTGAACTTGATATAAAAATGTTAATTTGTGGATAAAGAAAGTGCAGTAATGTAAGATCAGAAAAATATCTTACCTCCCTTGGGTCAGCTATTCTCCAAGTTCTGCATGAAACGGAGCGAAGGTTAAGCTTTTGAAATGCGGTGTTAAATTAAATAGGCGAAAAATTGACGTACCTCACCTAAGCATTGAACGGTTCAATTGAATCGATGAGGTGTGGTGGAACGAGACAAAGGGGAAAGTGTAGCAAATAAAAGAATAAAAGAGAGAAACAAGGACTTGAATCAAGGACGCGTGTATCTTTTGCAAGGCTTAACGTATTCCGATAGTATTTTATTATGCTGTGCCGTATATAAATCTTTCTCTATCAATGTATTTATGTATATGTATATGTATATGTATACGTGTATACGTGTATATGTATGTGCACGTAAGTACAGTAGCGAACAGAAGAAAGTTCCAAAGGCAAATAACACGAGGCAATCCTGAGTGATTTTGTGAAAATGAAGCAATATATTTAACAAAAGCAATTGAATAGGTGTAATGTATCTTTACGTTCTGGTTTAGTACAAAAGTGAATAGATCTTAATCTCCGACTTGTCTCCGATGTACTCGTTATACATGTGCATGCACGTATGTATACACGTGAATTTATATACAAACAGAGATAATCAATAGAAGGCAAAATGATCTCGAATGAAGCGAGATTAGAGAGGGAAGGAGGCATGCGTATTTATGCATATTTTAGGAACTTGACATGTCCACTCGATGATGTGGTTCAACGGTGGTTGCAGGAACACAGTGAATTGAGAAAGATCGTACATTTTTTCGATCTGTCACTGTTGCGAAGGATATCGGAGCGTGTCGGTGGTAGCGCGAGTTGGTCCGTTGATGCTCTGGACGATCATGTTGAGCCGATCCAAGCTGCTCCCACTGAGCTGAGACGATTGCGGTTCCACCGTTCCCTCGAAACCTGTCGGAACAGACAAATTGCACAAACTCTAACTAATATATCCTTATCTTACACCTTATATATATATATATTCTTCGCGACACGGCTGGAGACCAAGAGAATGGGCGAGGAAAGGGCATGCTTCGAAATCGATAGAACTCGAAGCTTCCGTTCGCGAGTTAATCGAGTTACACGTTGTAAACATGCAGCTGTACGGCACACGTGACCTGATTAGCACGCGTTACGAGGAAAATGTTCGAATTCTCCTATTGGAAACGAGGTGCGATGCTTTCAATCCACATTAATTGCATAGGTGCGCGGATATTTTCCAGCTGAGCTATTTTGAGCTGCATTGAGACATTTCTGTATA